ACGACGATTGATGTAAATCAATCGTGATGTAAATCAACTGGTTGAGTGACTAAATAGGAGTAACCTATTTAGTCACTCAACCAGTTGATTGTGTACTCAAGATTTTGACTCTAATGAATTAGTGCTAGTTGGTAGTTTGTATCTATATATTTTAATTTAAAAATGTAAAGTTACGATTAAATTATTTAAAAGTGCAACATGTAAGTTTCTTGATCGTTCTTCTTGTGATGAGACAAGAGATGAGCTTTCAGAATGAGCAGTAGATAAAAAAAAAGCATGACTATTCAAAGTGCTCAAATGTTACTTTATTTGAGAGTGGAATTTTCTATTTTATTCTAAAAAAGGGTGTTTGTGAGGAATAGTAAAAATTAAGTAGAGTTTTACTGAATTAATTAGAGGTTTGAGGTCCTTGATGAGCTTTTGGGTTTTATCTGTGTTTATTTTATAGAATTAGGTGTTATTTTGCGGAAGTCCATTTTTTTACTGAATGGATTTATTTTATTTTTTAATTCCGCTACATTTAGCATGAAATCACAAATATTCAAAATTGTGAAGAACTCGAAATTTGATTTATATTATCAGGGAACAGAGGGGAAATAAATAGGAACTACCGGTATTTTAACACGTTTACCTAATTGGTAGGAGAACTCAACAGCGTTCAGTTAATAACTGCTGATGTTCTTGTTATGTGTCATGACTTAATTTTCTTTATATGTAAATCATTCAGTCCATTTGCAAGTCCGTACGTTACTACCAAGGTATTGCTTGGTAGTAACGTTTGGATAAGAAGTGTATTTTTTTCTAATACACTAGAAGATACTAACGTTACGCCTAATAATTTTCACGCGTTTTCGAATTCTCGAAAGCAATTAGACAAAAAGAAAGGGTTAATCGTTATTAAAAGTAACCCCATTAGCTAGACTCATTAGCGAATAATTCAACCGGTTCGAGAATTATTTCATCGGGTAGATTACAACGATGGTGCATGTTATGAGAGACAGCGGGTGACGCATCTAATTAAAGATGTATAAACGTCTTTTTAAATTATTTTTTTTTTATTCTTTAATGCACAAAAAACTTGTACAAAGGCGAGCTTAATGCCATATGGCCTTCTCCACCAGCTAACCTTTAGGTATACAGAAAGCGTTGTGGGGCAGTTATGTCAAAAAACAAACACAAAGTTACTAATAAATGTTATATAATATACATGAAATGCAAATAAATATATACAAATAATAATATATATAGTATACCCGATATTATATAATGTCATACATTAATGTTAAATATAGATAAATATAATACTAATACAATGCAATACAGTTATAACTCATTTTGGTGATTCAGAAGAAAATTAAATAATTTCTTTTTAAAAATGGGCTCACTCGATGCTTTACGCAGGTTTACAGGTATTAAATTCGAATGTATTATCAATTCCAGTTTTTCGAGAGTGGTGGGGCACAATATGGTGGCTTATGAGCAGTGACTTGGACAAAAAAGGCATTATACGAGCAGCCCGCGAATGTAACGGACGAGTTCTGAGCAGGTTTCTAATATGTGAACGTATAAAAAAATTTAATCCAACTAAATTTCAAATACAATTGATAAAATTTACTTATTTTATGTCCTCTGTATTATAGCGGATTAGTACTACGTCTTACCTCCGCTGGTCGGTTCGATTCCTTGCACGTAAACATTTGCATTCATGAGTATGACTGTTTGTATCGGTCTGGTTGTTTTCTATGTATAATGTGTATGTATTTACGAAAAACAAATATGTATATGTATCTGTATTAGTTATTCAGTACCCATAACACAAGCTCTGGCTAGCTTGCAAACAGATGGCACTAATGAATTCCTATGAAAAAAAAATATTGACGTAACGTACACTGTAATATTGAAGTTATGTACTAAGTAAAAACAGTAAAATATAAGGAGTAAGTAAGGACAGGTAAGATAGTTTGTGTACTTCTTAGTAGACAATATTTAGTTTCTCTGAGTGGTCTTAATTAATTACAAATACTGACACGATTATCAAATATATTACAAAACAGAATTGTATATATAATTATATATTATAAGCTTCCATAATTAATAAATAATACAGAATCTTTAGTCTCACGAACTCGGTGGTCTTGCTTCCGATGGTCGTGGGTTTGATTCCTCGCATGGCACTCACATTTGTATTCATGAGTATGATTGTTTGTATCGGTCTGGGTGTTTTCTATGTATAATATGAAACGACGAAAAAAAAATCTATGTATTTGTATCAGTTATTTGGTACCCATAACACAAGCTTTAGCGAACTTAACTTGGGCCTAGATGGCGCTGTGGGAATTGTCCTGAGATTATTATTATTATTACTTCAGTACGCTATCAGCTCGTCACTTGCCACATGGACTCCTACGGGAAATTACAGTGTCGACCAATTAGAACAGAGTCGAATAAATTTCCTACAAACATTCACAGATATTTTTTAATTACATCCTGCAAATGTGAACCTGTTCGTAATAAATTCCGATGATTTATACCGAATTAAATATGATTAATTATTGCGCCCCAAGGAGAGGAAGTTGATACAATTTTCATTTTACTTTCTTAATATAATATTTATTTTCCGTTCAAATTGTAAATTACAAACAATACAATATATAATAAAATATATTAATAGCTATTGTAATATTTACAGTTTAAACTCTGCACACAGTACCACAGTAGTAGTTACCGCCGCTGTATGCTCATTTATATCTATTAAATTACGCAACGGATTGTAAATGTAGTTCTCAGCAATGGACAGAGTGATTCAAGAGGAATTTATATGTATAATATATGCGTGTTATAGTATAGAACAAGCCGAGAATTTCAAAGATTTGTAATGCATCCGTGAGTATCTGCAGATTCTGCCAAACTATGTGGTTGGGCTACACCCACTCATGCATAAACGAAATATCTCCTTTGGAAAGTTTACACTCTTTCCCGAGGAGATAAAAACGATCGCTCCTAAGAATATCCTTCAATTCTTGTCCCTGACGGGTCTAGGTAGCGAACTTTGAAAAGGGCGAGCACAATAGATCTATGTAGGTCGCAGTACTACAGGTGCTACACATCTGACGATAACCCAAAGAACCCAATAAAAAAAATAAAAAAAAGGTGCATCCGTGCGAAGTCGGGACGGGATGCCATGTACTTTTGTTATTTCGTAAGAACCAAACTGTACCATGCAGGAAGTATACAATATAATAAATACATAATTATTATTATGATTGACATGGTCATATAGAAAACAGTTAACGCTTCCCAGCAGCTAGGCTATCAGTTTAAAACAATAAAAAAATACATTGTTTTTCTTTTACATTATTAAGTTGTTCTAACAAAGACTTGTTTATGAAACAAAATCCTTTATTATACACTATTTAAACTACACAAAAGGTGGCTGAATGAAAATTATTCAGGACGTAGACAAAGCTCGCCGGCGTCCAACGTAAACCAATTTTACTTTGCTAACGTCACCATAAAGTTTGGTAAAACACACGAACGCACTTAGCACTGTTTTCTGTGTTCTATTATTTTGATAAAGAGTTCAGAGTATTCTATATTATAATTTTAGTTTTAAATGCCATAAAATTCGTCAGCTGTAAATGTGTTAATACACTGAACTGTACCATATACAGGTTTGATCGCCGAACAGTCAACACAAGGTTTCCAAACTATAATATATCTGAACTCCATTCAATGCCTGATGATGAGTCGTTCAGAGGTGAAACACGTATAGCAATATGGGTATAGACTCAATAATGATCACACCGGTCAGATCATAACGGTAGTCGAGTTTCTGCACTGAATATTTGTGGTCACACATATGCAAATTGTAGCGGAATTAAACAAAATAATATAAATCTATTAAGTAGTGTACCGCCGCCATTATTTTATTATGTGACGCTCGTTTTACTCTTGCTATTTTGGAGGACGATATCATGCCATCGTAACCTGTAATTTCACTCTTTTAAACATAAATATAGCTAAAATATGAAGGATACACATACATGTATAGACACATAGAGTTGACTTTATATAAAGTCTACCTTGAGATTGTTGATAATGTTTATACGAAAAAATGTAAATAAATCAAATAAGGTAGCAAGCCTGGAAGTTACCATCTGGGGAAGTTGTGAAATAAATAAAAAAAAAATGTTACGTATGAACATTTATTTCACGAAACACATAGTTGACTTTGAATTGATCAAGTTACTTTAAGGATTTTTTACAAAAAATAATTACATCTAAGTATCTACGAAGGTACAATTAGATCTATAGATAGACCTCAGGTAAACTCTGTACAAAGACCTACCTGTAAAACCTGAAAAAGAACTATCTATTGTATCTAGCGAAATGGGGGCATGTCAACAGTTTTATTCAACTTAACGTCATTAATTGGCAATGTCTCTGACTACCCTAAATTAGTATAAAGTCGTGATAATTTGGACTTTTTACATAACCTAATTTTATCATTATTATATAAGATTTATCATTACAAGCGACGCGCCACGGCTTAGCACGGATTCATTACAAATCTTTGAATTTCTCTGCTTATTCTATACTATAACAGGCATATATAATACATAATAATATAAACCTTCTTGAATTACTATCTATTGCTGAAAACTGCATTAAAATCAGTTGTGTAATTTAAAATATATAAACACACAGACAGCGGCGGCAACTTTGTATCATACTATGTAAAGATTTGGGTTTATGATGTACCAAATTGGATTCGAATTCGTTAAATTATTCTAGCCTGAATACTGGTAGGATTAATTACGATAAAATATTCTAACCAAATCCATAACCCGTTTAATTCATTAATTATCTTTCTATAAATCCAATGACAAATAATTACGTGTCTACTGTCCACACTGACTATAATTATCACAATCGTTATCAGTAATCTGCCGGCCGATAAACAATTATCAGTATTTGATTTCATTTTACAATTACTGACAGACATGTCGCGATTTATTATATTTTGTGTGTTTTTAACAATTGTAAGTGCTAATGAACAAACGAGAGTAGTGGAGTTGGACGAAGGGGCTGTTATTGGTGAGAAATATTGGAATGGCGACTATTTCGAATTCTATGGAGTTCCGTATGCTACGGCGCCCTCGGGACGGGACAAGTTTAAGGTATTATTATAGTACAGATATATATATATATATAAATAACTAGCTGTCCCGGCAAACTTTGTTTTGCCTTAAAATAATAAAAAAATTAGGGGTGGACTACCCCTAATATTTAGGGGGATGAAAAATAGATGTTGGCCGATCCTCAGACCTACTCAATATGCTCACAAAATTTCATGAGAATCAGTCAAGCCGTTTCGGAGGAGTATGGGAACGAAAACTGTGACACGAGAATTTTATATATAAGATATATGTACATCTATATTTCCTTTACCATAAATATGTTAAAATTAATTCCTTTTGAATATTAATTATAATTTATACCCCATATTTAAATGATACAAGAGTTTGAGAAAAAATTGGAATGATCGTGATTAATCGGGATATAAATTTTTCAATATTATCCTTATAATCTTTAATATAAAAGTAGGTAAACACATTATTGTACATTTCAAATACGTAAAAAGGGTAAATATCCTATTATGTAGAATGTAAATTTAATTTCAGGTATATATTAGTACCATCAATATATATGTATATATATACATATATGTGCTATTATTTAAATTCTATATATTTGGCACATTACAAAAAAAATGTATAGAATATAACAATTATATCAATATAATTCACTTCTAGGCACCATTGCCAGTTAAACGACGAAAAAATGCAATGCAAGCGAGTACAAAAAACATAATATGTCAACAAGTGTACTACACTGGTGAAGATGATGACATAACACTCTATGGCAAAGAGAATTGTCTCACAATGAACTTAATGGTTCCAAATAAAGCAAGCGAAAAGAACTTGGTACCAGTGCTAGTGTATATTCATAGTGGTGCTTTTGCTGGAGGCAATGGCAACATGGCGAGAACCCAATACTTATCAAGACATGATGTCATAGTTATTACTTTTAACTACAGATTAGGAGCAATAGGTTTCGCTTGCTTGGGCACAGAAGAAACTCCCGGTAATGCAGCATTAAAGGATCAAGTAGCAGCTTTACGGTGGATTAATAAGAATATCAAGAAATTCGGAGGTAACCCTAAAAAGGTTACGGTTGCTGGATTTAGTGTTGGTGCAACAATGGCCGAGTTATTAGCACTATCCAAAACTACAACTGGTTTAATAGATAAGATCATTCTAGAAAGCGGATCAGCATTGGCACCTTTTGCAATAAATAGAGATCCAGTCAGCACAGTGAAAAACGTAGCTGTATCTATAGGTTACAATGATACTGGAAACTTGAAAGATTTGAATGAGTTCTTTCTCAATGCACCAGTAGCTAATATCACTGCGAAAAGCCTAAACTTTTTCCTTACAAATAGCACATTCGGTTTTGCACCATGCATTGAAAATGTTTTTGAGAATACAGAAGCATTTCTCACAGAATCACCATTAGATATATTGAGTAAAGGTGGACTTGAAGTATCAGTTTTAACAGGTTTCTCTAATATGGAAGGCATTTCGAGAGAATCTAGATTCGAAGAATGGAGTGAACTGATGAATAAAGATTTCAGTCAATTTCTTCCAGCAGATTTAGCTTTTAAAGATGACAAAACGAGAGATAACTTTATAAATGAAATAAAAAAATACTATTTTAAAAATAAAGAAGTATCTCTTGATAACGTACAAGGTTACGTAGATTATTTCTCAGATTCTATGTTTAAGTACTCGATTTTAAAGTCAGCAAAATTGCATGCAGCAAGAAGTAAAAAATCCGTGTATTTATATGAGTTTTCGTATGTTGGAAAGTTGAATACGAGACATAATTTTGTGGACAGAATAGACGGCGCCAGCCACCGGGATCAAACTGCATATATTTTAGACTTCTTTACAGCTACACAGAAGGTTAGAGATCTAAACACACGAGACCGTCTTACATATATGTGGACTGATTTTGTTAAATACGAGTAAGTATTATTCAGAAAATTAATCAACTTTATTTTTATTTCGATATTAGTTTGCCTTGTATAAAAGAGGTACGTGCAAAATGTAATAAGGCATGGAAAAATCAACTTGTATGAAGTAGAGTATACTGTATATTCCAGACGCTGTTATATAAACTCTGCAACAAAACTGTCAAACTTAGTACCACTAGTCACCATTTTTTTATTTAATAGAAAAGGCAAACAAGGTGAGGTCTCACCTAATTGATAGTAGTAGCAGTCACTTATATACACATGAACAACAACTATGACCATCCTGTTATCACTTATTAGTAGCCATTCCAGAGGATTATTATGACATGCTTTATCCTGTAATTATACTGCCTTATCTAACCCTACAGCCAAAACACATTTTATGTATTATAATATGAGTTTTTACGAATTATTACGTTCGATACGAGTAACGTATATTTTCTTAGTGAAAACTTTCATAGCTTTTTAATTTAGTTTCAACACTATTTTTTAAGTTTATTAACAAGAAATATTTTACTTTCAGTGACCCGACTGCTTATGAAAGTCCTTTAATCGACTTCAAATGGCTGAAGTATTCAAATGAGCAACCTAATTATTTGTCTATTAACGATAAACTAGAAGTGAAGAGAGATTTGTTGGCTAATAGTTATGAATTTTGGAACAACGTCTATGAAAAGTATTATTGGAATCCATCTGCACCGAAGAAATAAAATATGAAGAGACAGTAATTGTAAATAATAAATTTGAATGTACAATAAAATAGATGTAAATTTATAACACTATTATATGAAACATTTTATTTTGTTCTCTTGAAATCCTTGCTCGATTGTTTATTTCGATTAAGAATTTACAGTTTTAGTATCTATTTCTAGGGAATTTGTTCAGAGTCTATAACATCCTCTTCCGCATATCCATGATTTCTTTTTATTGTTCACACTTCCATCATTCCTTCAACAATCAATAGTAACAGCAAACAAAATGAATTCAAAACACATTTCTTCTTCAGAAGTTAGGAACTGGTGATTTTGACACTTATAAATCGTTGTCGCTTTATCAGCAACATTGTCACCTGTGAGGGGAGAAACGCAAATACAATCACACTGTCGCAACAAGTGTAAGTCATTCAATTTTCAACCTTATATTTGCAGCAACCAATATATGTTGAACTGCGAAAAGAGTGTCAGAAGAGGATTGTTGAAGGGAACTCATCAATGATAAAGTTCGATTAACTTTGGTCAAATTATATGATGTACGTAGCACGTCAAGGGATGTGAATGCAGTACTCCCTGCTTCAAAGGGAGAATATTTTACAACGATTTCCTGTCAGCTAACCCCTTTGAAGCTCGGGCTTATTTATGGTTTAAAATTTGACACTGCTATTGTCTATGTTTGGATTAGGGTGTTATTTTCTGTTGTAGATTAACTGATGCCGATCATTAAATAGATGCACCCGCCTTGTTTTTATTTATAATAATATAGACTCCTTTAGCCATTTGTTCGTGTAGAGCTTGGACTATTAAAATATGCAGGCATTTTTTGTATTTTGTATTAATCGTTTCCAAGAATTTTATTATTTTTGCTATTTTTCGCCTGACTTCATAAAAGAGAAGGTTCTATTTATGACTATATTTTAAGTGTTTGTTACGATATGATAAGACGAATTAAAGATTTACTATTTTAAACTTATGTTTACAGTTGGTGAAAAATAGGATTTGCCGCACATAACCGTGTATATAAATACCAAAATATACTATACGTGTTTATTTTTTCAATTTCTTTACAGAATCCTTGAGAATATAATATTAAAAAAAGCAGGCGTTGAAATGTTTTTTTACCACCTCCGCAAATTATTTGACGCATCCCCTAGAATCGATGCGACCCTATTGAAAATTTCAAAATCTTACATTTTTCTGCAATATTAACCCTAACCCCTCTGCAAATACTTCCTATCGCCAGCGTCATAAGTGATGAGCGACAAGCGATATTGTTGTTAATTTTATTACAAAATGCATTTTTGCATGTATCATAACCTATTCGGTTTGTTTAGGTTGTGGTTCAGTTCAAGTATCAGAGAGGAGATGTAATCTGTAGTTTATTTATGTGCAATTAATTGTTTTCAGCAATGGATGTTTTATATAATTGAAATGGCAATGACGTAATTAGCAAATTTCTTTTAAAATTAATTTTAAAATTATACTCTTTTATAATTATATTACTAGTTGTTTCATCTCACCTATTACTTCTATCATTAGATAGCTTACTTACATATGTAATGAAACTGGTTTGAAGTATGTTATAGTGAAGTGTATGTAACGAATAGCCAACGAGTGACGTAGAACTGCGTTTTACAAAATAGCGATATTTTCTTCGGTTGAATCGTATGCTTATCGATATCGTTGGTATTAAATGTAATTTAGATTATAATTACTGAAAACACCCTAACTGCTAAAAAGTACTTTATCCAAAAGTTAATAAAGTTTACATCACATTAATCTCGCTTTGCGTTTGTTTATTGTACCAAACTTACTCTGTGACTGACACCTTCAAACAAGAGCACCCTTTTTCCCCTAGTAAATATCTTTGAGCATTCTTAAATAATGCATGTTGGTATATATATATGTATTTTTAAAATGTCAGTATGATAAGTACATACTGACATTTTAAAAATTCTTCTTGTATCTTATTTTTTATAGTAACGGGTCTTCACATACGTAAAATTAGTAAAAAATATAAATATAAATTAAATCGCTATTAAAAAAATGAAAATATAGGGTTGTACTTTTTAATGCCAGACAATAAAAAAAAGTCAAATAAATGAAAAAAAAAAAATTTGCGGTGAGCATTTTCTTAACACTTAGGGGTATAAAAATTAGTCATAAACCTATTCTCAGACCTACTGAATATACATATAAAATTTCATCATAATCGGTCAAGCCGTTTCGTAGGAGTTTAAACACGAAACCTGTGATACGAGAAATTTATATTTTAAATAATGACCTGGTCTTTACATCTTCACCAGACCAATGGGGGCGAGTATAAAAGGGATTACAGACTCTTGGTTAGAGCTTATGGAGCGGAATATGAACCCCAGCCTGGAAAAACGAGCTAGCGATTTTATTGGCATACCAGGAAGATATTGATAGAACGAAATAACCTTTGTCATTTTCTAATATAAATATTACTTTCATGTATACCAACATTTATGACGAATGAAGATAAAAAATTGACATAACTCGTACTTTATTAGTCTTTCTTCTATTAAAGTTTATTTATTTCAGCACTAAAAGGAAATCTTATTAAAATAGTCTAGTCTTCTGTCTAGACGTATATTAATTCACTCTCGATGTTACTACTATGTGAGTAATCTATTAGATCTGTTTGTTGATCCAATAGTATCTGTACAGTTTAGTCACTTCACACACACCAAGTCACAAAATCGAGCTACTTTCATCTCTATACATATAAATAAATTTGGAGTGTCTGTTTGTAATATTGAAATACCGTTTTTTACTACATTTACATGAATAAAAATAACATTTTTTACAATTTTTGTCCGTCTGTCTGTTTGTTCCGGCTAATCTCTGAAATGGCAGGACCGATTTTAAACGGGCTTTTAATGGCAATTAGCTGATCCAATAAAGAGTCACTTAGGCTACCTTTATTTTAGAAAAATAAATTAATTCCACGCGGACGAAGTCACGGGTACAGCTAGTCAAGAATAAAATTTAAAACTGAAAATATATTATGCAAATTTGTTTTTAGTTGCTCTATTGGCGTTGGAAATATAACATCATAGTTCTCTGGAATAGCAACGGATGAATGGCATCTTGGGTGTCACATGATAACGTGATGTCCGAAGTTCATATATATAGCCGACGGTTATCACTCATGTGGACTGTTAGCTGGTTTTTCGTCGAACTAATGCTGTTGGCCGCAGCTGGCCTTTACAGCATCACCGGACGACAGGGGCCGAGTGCTGATGGCACTCCAAACCCGCGGAAGGATGGATCGGCTGAAGGCCAACTCCTACCTGACGGATACAACTTTAGTCTGAGGACACAAGGGGTTCGATTTTTCGATCCCGTTTGATTTTTTTGTCAATCAGAGGTGGGTGTTTTCTTCTACCTCATATTCTTTAAATGCCAAATGTACCATTAAGAATATTAAATGAAACCGTATTTATTAGATTATATTGTAAATTTTATGTAACTATATGTATGTATATATAAATATTTAAATAAGAAGTGTTACCGCTTATTATTTTAATAAACCGTTATATTAATATATTATGTATATGGCAAACTAGCTATAATATAATAATCTCAGGACAATTCACACAGCGCCATCTAGACCCAAGTTAAGCTAGCTAAAGCTTGTGTTATGGGTCCTAGACAACTGATACAAATACATAGATATTTTTTTTTTCGTAAATACATACATATTATACATAGAAAATACCCAGACCGATACAAACAATCATACTCATGAATACAAATGTTTGTGCCGTGCGAGGAATCGAACCCGCGACCATCGGTCGTAAAGCTATATGCTAGACCGCTAGACCACCGAGGCCGTCAATGTCAAGCTATGTATTATAGTTTACCATATATACAATTGTTTTTTTTTTAATTTATTATGTTGTACGACTCTGGATCCTATTAAGCCCAAATTTAACAATACACTAAACTCGAAGTTATACAATTTACAAAAATTAACAAAATGTATACAACTACGTAGATCTATATATTTTTCGTAAATACATGTATATTATAGAACAGTAGAAAAGACCCAGACTGAAACAAATAATCATACTCATCAATAAAAATGTTTGTGACGTGCGAGGAATCGAGCCGGCGACCATCGGTAGTAAGGCGGTGTGATAACCGTTAGACCACAGAGGCGGTCGGGTGCAAGAACCCAAAAATCACATATGTATCGCATTTTTAGCAATAAATTATTAATTTCATTAAAATATTAATTTCACTTCGGATAATATAAAAGTACTCACTAATAAGTCACAAGTTAATTAACAACCACAGGCATTCTAATAATTAACAACAATGGAGTTGGAGATTAAAGTTATTCACTCAATTATAATCACCAAGGAACATTGCAACGTTCGCCAATTTTCAGGAATGCATGCCGTCCGCCATTTTGTCCTGGAAGCGCGCGGAATTCAGTATCGATGAGAAGTGCATGCCTGCAAGCAAGAGATACATGTACAGGTTGTTTCAAATACAACCATAAAATTTTAGCTATTTTCAAAAATATCAATTTTATTTTAGCATAATTTTATTACGTATGTTAAGAGATATATATGTAAGGTAGTTTAAAAAATAACAATTGAAATTTATTATTTTTTTCACGTATGCTTAATTGTACAAAATGTATAAATAAATGAATTTTAATATTAGGACCTCATAGAAATAATAATTTTACCAAATATTAAGTAATGAATATAGTTGAAAATACTGTTTACGATTGAAATGAATTGTTACTATTTCGCATCTTATTTATATAAAAACATAAAAGGAGGTAATGCTCAATTTGTTTCTCATTATACACTAATAATGAGTGCGTAGCGATTTCTATGTAAGAGGCATGCGATAATCATCGCATGCCTCTTACTTATTATACTGTAATTATTTATATAAAAAAACATCTATTAAAAAGAGCAACACACAAGTTTTTTGCTCATTCTTTTTGTGATGAATCTGTATTTCGAATGAGTGTTAGAATCCAAATATGACTATTC